CTCCCACATAGTCGATTGCGGTTCAAGTCCTGGACCTGGTGGCTTAAACTCACGCCAGGCGCGTGTGCATGCCCAAGATCCTGAGAGGAGAATGGAGGAGAAGGGATTGCGGCGTGGCCATCCCCCCTGGGGGGGTGATTTCTCACTTTCTATATCTCTGTCTCTCTCTGTCTTTCCAGCGAGTGCACGTGCCCTATAGCCAAAACCTCTCAAAAAAAAAAAAAAAAAAAAAAAAAAGACTTGACACCAAGCTGAGAAGTGGGTGGGGATTACTTATGCAGGTATAAAGGTGCAGTGTGAAAATCAACCCAGGCTGATGGGCAAGGGTGTGAAAGGCCCTAGGCCCATCGTTGGCCACCACCCTCTCGCTACTCACCTGGTCCATCGACTGTCCTCTCTTGCCTGGATGACTGTAGCAGCCTCCTCTTGGAGTCCCAGAGAGGGGCAAAGACGCTGGGGTACACAATCCTGTCTTATGTGGTAAGAGTTCCCTGCCGCGGGTGCTGATTCACTGTGTTCCCCACTCAGCCTGTATCCGTGAGCAGAGAGGAGCAGGAAGTGAGGCACGTGCAGCAGCGTCTGTGGGCAGCCTCCAGGGACAGCCCCTTCTATGGTCCTGTGTGCTCTTTGCTCCCTTCCCCTCTCTGCCCTCATTTCCTACCCTCTCCCTCTCCCTCATCCTATTCCACCTACACTAGCTGTTCTCTCTTCCCCCAAGATATCCTCATGGCTCACCATGTCACCTCCTCCACGCCTCCTCAGAGAAGCCCTCCCTGATTGCCTTATTTCAAATAGCCCCTCCATCATTCCCTCCTCACCTCGCTCTGCTCCATTTTTGTCCACAGCACTTTGATCATCCAACATGTGATGCATTTACTTGGTCGTGTGTTGATTTTCTCTCTCTCCCACCAGTCTGGGAGCTTTCTGAGGCCGGGGACTGTGTATGGTGTTGCTCATGGTGGAATTCCTATTATGGGGCCTGGAAAGTCAGTAAGTATTCATGAAACAGGTGATTCTGAAACCTACGGATCTCTAAGTGCCCTTCTGGTTCTGACCATCTCAAAGTCTTGGAGAGGACTACAGACCTCCTCCCAACACTTCCGGTGGCCAAGGGTGGCCTCTAAAGACCTGACATAACCAAGAAACTGCGAATGTGGGAGCCTCCCTCAGCCTCTTTCCATCCAGGCCTCTCTGGCAGGGTCAGGGGTCACCTTGGTCCAGCCCTCTTTGGGCCTCGAGGTGAAGGAAACCCAGCACTGGGGTTCAGGCCCCAGGAATGGCTGGTAAGCCCTGTTTCTCCTTTGGCAAATGGCCTCCCTTCCTTCACAGGGCCTGTGTCTGCATTTCTGAACCAGAAGGTGTTTACACAAAACATCCTGGGTTTGGCGACAAATTCACCCTCAATGAGGAATCCTTAATGACGCTCCCTTTCCCCTTGCCAGACGGTTGCAGGGAAATCAGCCCTGCCTCTGCTTGCTGAAGACAGCCAAAGGCCAGGCAAAGAGGTGGTGCTATGGGGCTTCTAGGGCCACAGCTTGGGGGGAAGGCTTTTTTCCGGTTCCTGGGGCAGCTGTGGTATGGAGACCAGAGTGCTTTCAGATGTGTGATGAGGCACTGTTCTCGTCCTGGCCTCCGTCCGGAGCTGTGAAATGGGGCAATAATAATCCCATCTGTGCAAATGTTGCTTTGGAATCAAGTAAAGCAAGCTTGGTTACAAGGGGTCAAAAGTGGAGAATAAAAAGTCAGGCGGTGCAGTGGTTAAGGCACTGGATTCCCACATGGCCAACTGCAGTCTGAGTCCCAGACCTGACAGCTTGAAAATTACGCGGGGCACGAACATGTGTGCCCAAAGTCCTAGGAAGAGAATGAAGGAGAAGGTCCCTTTCCCCTTGCCAGACGGTTGCAGGGAAATCAGCCCTGCCTCTGCTTGCTGAAGACAGCCAAAGGCCAGGCAAAGAGGTGGTGCTGTGGGGCTTCTAGGGCCACAGCTTGGGGGGAAGGCTTTTTTCCAGTTCCCGGGGCAGCTGTGGTATGGAGACCAGAGTGCTTTCAGATGTGTGATGAGGCACTGTTCTCGTCCTGGCCTCCGTCCGGAGCTGTGAAATGGGGCAATAATAATCCCATCTGTGCAAATGTTGCTTTGGAATCAAGTAAAGCAAGCTTGGTTACAAGGGGTCAAAAGTGGAGAATAAAAAGTCAGGCGGTGCAGTGGTTAAGGCACTGGATTCCCACATGGCCAACTGCAGTCTGAGTCCCAGACCTGACAGCTTGAAAATTACGCGGGGCACGAACATGTGTGCCCAAAGTCCTAGGAAGAGAATGAAGGAGAAGGGAATCGCTGCATGGTTGCCCCCCTGGGGAATGGTTTCTCACTTTCCCTCTCTTTCTCTCTCTGTGATGAGCACACTAGCACTATGAGAAAGGGAAAAAAAAAAAAAAGCCAGAATCAGAGCGGGCAACATGGCACAGTGGCAAAGTACTGCTCAAGAGAGGCTGGATCCCACATGGTGAGCATGGTTCGAATCCCGCCTGGTCAGCCTGAAACATTGGGCATGTATGAGTGTCCAGATCTGAGGCTGGGGGTGCCCAGTCTCACTCTCTTTATCTCTCTCTTTGAAGAAATAAATACATGTCTTTAAAATGATGAAATCAGGGCAGTAGGAGGTCAAAGTTCTAGGATCAGTTCTGCTGTTGACTTTTCAAAGTCCCCACCTCTCTCTGAGCTTTAATTTTTCCAGCTATTCAGTGAGAGGAGTTTGGGCATGAAGAGCCCTTTGTTGAGGCCGGTAGCTGGCATGATGGTTAAGGTGCTGGACTACCACTTGACTGATTGTGGTTCAAGTCCCTTCGAGTCCCTTCAAGTCCCAAACCAGGTGGCTTGCATTCTCACTTCCCCTTTCTTTCTCTCTCTCTCTGGTCAGATTAAAAAATAATAGTAACAAGGGCCAGCAGGTGGTATGGTGGCAGCACAGGACTCCCACATGGCTGACTGCAGTTCAAGTCCCGGACCTGGCGGCTTGCTCTCTCTTCTTTCTCTCCTTCTGTCTCTCTCTGGTCAAAACTGAAAAATAATGATAATAAATAAATTATTTAAAATAATAATAAATGGAATTAAATAAATAAATGATTCTTTTTAAAAATCCCTTTGTTTCTAATAGGTAGCCATTTTCCATCTGTTTACCTCTTCTGGGAAGTCCTCCTGAATCCTTGGTCCACATTGATTCCCTTTCCAGCATTTACAGAACTTCTTTTCTGAACCAGAACTTCAATGCTCACTAGTTGCGGTTTTTCAAGACCTTCTCTGAGTCTAGATTAACTTCTCAGGACATCAGCCCAGTGCAGGGACTCAAGGTCAGACTGAATTGAACGTGATTCCTGGGGCCACGTGGTGGCGCAGCAGTAAAATGCAACCCTCCACAGGAGAGGGTTCAGGCCAGCGCTCCCTGAGTACCCAGGCACTTGCTTGCCAGTGATCCCAGGCTGGCTGAAGTGGGTGTGTGTGTGTGGAGAGCATGGGGATTTGGAACGTGGATCATGACGAGACCCCAATGGAGGTACCCCCTCTCTCTCTCACTCAATCATGGAGTAAATAAATAAGTAAATGATTGCTGCCTCCTCTCCAGCCTGTGAAGGGACGAGGGAGATTTTTTTTCTTTTGAGAGGTTTTTGCTATAGGGCGCGTGCGCTCGCCAGACAGACAGAGAGAGACATAGAGACAGAAAGCGAGAAATCACCCCCCAGGGGGGATGGTCACGCCACAATCCCTTCTCCTCCATTCTCCTCTCGGGATCTTGGGCACGCACGCACACGCGCCCGGCGTGAGTTTTAAGCCACCGGGTCCAGGACACGAACCGCGGTCGACTACGTGGGAGTCCAGCGACACAGCCATTACGCTAACTGCTGGTTCCCGAGATTTTTAATCACTCTCAATTCGTAAGTTGGAAACTGAAGGTGTCAGAGGTTAAATAAAAGTCACATTGCCACGTGCGTCTTCTTGGTGTTCCTTAAACTGAAGAAAGATTTCTATTTCTCTAAGTCCGCATCGCTCCCTGGTATTAGCGCCAGCTAGGTATTAGCATGTGATTACCTGTTTTGTCATTCACTGTTGGGAGCTCCCATGAGGGTGCAGTTCCAAGAAGGCAGGGATTTGGTCTGGGTGCATCCTCAGCACCTAAAACTGCCTGGTACTTAGTAGGTGGTCAAGAAATTTTGCAGAACAGGAGATAGGGGTGGGAGGTAGCGCTGCGCATAGTGTTCTCTGGGACTGCAGGGGGCGCTCCAGCCCCGCCCCGAAATCAGGCCCCGCCTCTTGCGGCCGGCGAGGCGCGTGAGTTGGAGCCTATGCGCCACCGTTCCTTGACTTGCGCATGCGTGTCGGGAACCCTGGTCGTGCTGCGCGTGCGCAGCAGAAACCGAATTCCAGCCTTACTGGGTCGCCAGCCTGGTGGTGGGCTGCAGCTGGAGCCGGCGGGTACCATGCTGTCACCGGAGGCGGAGCGAGTGCTGCAGTATCTGGTCGAGGTGGAGGAGCTCGCCGAGGAGGTGCTGGCGGACAAGCGGCAGGTGAGAGGCCCGCCCGGGGCACTGGGGCCCGGGGCTCTGACCGGGGCCTGGCGGGGAGTGCCGTAGGGAGGCGAGCGGGCACTCGGTGAGGTGACCCGGAGTGCAGTTACAGTTTAACGACTGCGAAACGACACGCGGGCTTGGCACACGCGGCGCTCCCTTCCCAAACTGGTGTGGATCGGCGCCTGCTCTGTGCCGGGCATTCGCGCTTTTCATCCTAACCCGATCGTTAGTGGTCCCCGGGTCCGGACCTGCTACTGCTCTGGCAGGTTCCCTGAGGTCCAGTTTCAAAATGCAGTTTCAGGGCCCCCTCATTGACCTGGGTGTGCACTGGCCGGTCAAGGCCCCTAGGGGAGAAGAGGAGCAGAAGTGACGCCCTTTGGTGGGGTGGTGAGGCCCTGGTAAGGGTTTTGTAGACCCGCACGGAGAGAGTGAGTCATTTTCTAATTTAATTCCAAAGCTTGGAAGTGAGTTTGTGCGGGGAAGCAGGGCGACGGAATTGGATTTCGGTTTCGAAGGGCTCCCGGGGGCCTTCTGTGCGATAAACAACGTAGCAGGGCAGGAGTGGAGGCAGGGACATGGGGGGAACATTGCCACGGCTGGAGGGGAGGAGGTTAGAGCCAGGTGGTGGTGAGAGAGAGACGTGAATGGGTCCGAAGTATCTCCAGGAACTTTGGAGATGGACTCAGGAGGCTGGGGTAAGAGCGCATCATGGGGTGATGGAGCAGGAGGACTCAGAAATGATTCTTCACTCTCTCTGCCCCAGAGTGAATGCTTGGGTGATTGAGCTGGTTGGCCTTCCCTTCAGGAGGGGAGAAGTATCGAATTAAAAGCTACTGGATGACAGCAGCAGCTCAGGTTTGTCAGGTGCTTCCTGTGTCAGGTGCTGGGATAACTCCCTTAGTTCCTGACTCAGTAACTAACCTTTGAGGTAGGTACTGCTCATAGCTCTTCTTGTCAGAGGAGTAGCCAGGAAGGTGAAATGCCACAGGTCATAGCCGGCAGCAGGATTCGAACCTGAGTTGTCTAGTTCCAGAGCCAGCTCTCTTAGCAGTGTCCTGTACTGCCTCCATACTCCCTTAGTCGCTCTCCTCCACCAACCCACTGCCCCAGATACTAGGGCAAAGTCAGCTGGAGGAGTTTGTCCCAAAATAGAACTTCTAAGGCTTGCTTAATCACAGTGTCTCTGGAGAGGGGTTTCCACCCCCGGTGATTCTGTACGGCCTCAATTTTGAGCTGATACTCCAGAATTACTCATTTAATCAGCAAACATCTTCCCGCACCTGCTCTGGGGGAAGGCACCTGCACAGAGCTTCCTCACTGAGGACCCCACAGCTGAGTGGGAGGAGCTTCATTCCCACAGCAGTCCATTTCGGGGGGTGTCAGGAGTAACCCAGGAACGATGCCTCATCTCCTCATTCCCTTGTCTGGCAAGTGGTGACAAGTTGGGGCAAGAGGTATCTGAGTTCCCTGCTGGCCCTGTGGTTTTCAGATTGTGGACCTGGACACCAAAAGGAATCAGAACCGGGAGGGCCTCAGGGCCCTGCAGAAGGACCTCAGCCTCTCTGGTGAGTCGAGATATCCTCCCCTGCAGGCCTGGCTGGTTTTCCTTTTAAGGCCCTCACCTTATCCCTGATAGAGACCGGGCAGATGTGTGACTCGGCCTCACAGGGAATCCACCAGCCTGTGAGGATGAAGGATGTTGCTGGTGTGACACAGACCAAGGCTCAGGATTCCAGCTACTCACCTCAGCGAACCTAACAGTGGCAGAAACTGAGGATCCTGGGGGGTATATAAAAATGACAGTTCCCGCCCTGTGCTCACAGATGAGAAAAGCAACGTAAAATACATCACTGGAAATTGTGAGAAACTAAAGACAGAATTAGACACAGGGTGGGTGTTGAGAATTACCAGGAGGAAGGAGGCGATAGGGCTCTTTAGATGAGGCCAGGTGGCCAGAGAGAGGTGCAGAGACTAGTCCATAAGAAGGACCTTGGGAGCCAAGAGAAGGAATTTGCATTTTGTTTGAAGTGCTCCATTGTTTAATGTGCAAAACCTTCTAGTTATTTCCTGTCACACCAGAGTAAAAACTCAGCGTCTAGCAACTGTGCAGACCAATGTCCCAGGTCAAAACCCCCAGTGTCATCCCCTCTCCTCTTACCCTCCTCTGTACTGGTCTTGCTGTTCCTTGCTGCTCCCATGTCAGGAGCACACTGCTGTACTTTGCTGTTCCTGTTTCTGCTCCTTGGCTTGCTCTGTCACCAGGGTTCACGCCCACACCCAGTGAGGTCGAGACCCAAGTCATGGAGGCCTTCTCGGAGTACCTGGTATAAGTAGCAAGTCCCTCCTCTGTTCTAGCATTCCCTATCACTCTTAGACTGCTCTAGTTTTTCTCTGCACCTCTTATCAGGGTCTCACAAATCATATTTTTGCTTGTTTAGTCCCTCTACTGTGCCGTAACATAAGCTCTATGAGGGCAGAAGCTTTGTCTTGTTCTGTTATGTTCTGTGCACCTAAAAACAATACTTGGGAGTTAGTAAATGCTCAAAAACAAACATCTGTTGAAGGAATGACCATTTACTATTTCAGAAGATGTGATGGTTTGCTTCGGGAGCATGTTTATCAAGATGTCGCACCCTCAGACAAAGGAGATGATTGAGAAAGGTAAGGCCTCCTGGGCTGGGTCTGGAGTCCGTCTGCCTCTCCCACCAGCCTCGGTCTTAGGGCAGCCTGGGCAGCTTGGTAAGAGGGGGCTGTGTTACAAGGTCAGACTAATGCATGTTTCAATCCCATTCTGCCATTATAAATTACTCCCTCACCTCTAAAAGGGAGGCACATCTGTGTGACACAGCTATAAGATTGATAAAACTGTGTGCCTGGCAGAGTGTGCATTTACCAATGAGGAATGAATTAGGCTGCAAATGATAGAAATCCCAGCAAATTAGGGCTTAAGGAGGTAGAGTTCTGTCTTGCTCATGTAGGTTTTCATCGAGGTGGGCGGTCCGGGACTGGCACAGCTGTCCACCCTTGGCACCTCAGCATATTGTCATGGTGGTTGTGTCGTCGTTGCAGGCCTCATGTCTATGTGCCAGGCTGGAGGAATGGCCAAAGGCTTTTCCTAGGTATGGCCTTGCCTTCTATTAGGTTGTCAAGAAAGTCATGATGTGTTTTTCTATGTTTTCCTATGCAAAAATGCACCATGACTTGCCCAGCGACCCAGTATTTTGAAGCTAAGGCTGTCCTCCCTAGTCTTCCGCCAACATTTCACTGGCCATAACTACGTCACTGGCCTCCTATAGCTGCAAGAGACCTGGGAAGCGAGCTGTTCTTGACATCCTCTGCAGTAGAGACAGGGTTGACAGCCTGAGCAATTAACATAGGTTGTGCAAGGCCCTCAAATCATAGGATCCTGGAAGCTCTTTGGAGAAGCACTAGGAAGGCAAAGTCAGGCTGCAGACAGGTCCTTGACTGGGAAGACGGCAGCCTGTACATGTTTTCTCCTCCGTATCCTTGAAATCGTGTGGGCCAAGGCCCAGCAAGGTTGCCTCCATTCATGAAGATGGCATGTCTCCATACCTCTTGAAATCAGAATCATAGCAGAGGAAACCAGATCCATGTACACGAACAGCGTGATTATAAAATTAGTTGTCCTTGCCCTTGGGTAGTCGGCTGGAGGCTGATTGGGCTGAGCCTTCAGAGAAGACAGTGTGTAAGTTCAGGATCTTGCCCTTAGCTCTGTTAGCCCAGATGTGGTCTTGTCTCTGTACCTAGGGAAGTTCTGGGACATCATCAGGACTCTCAGAAATCGATGTGGGCCAAACAAACTCATCAGACACTGGAGTTCCTCATGTACAGTGAGAAATAGAACCATTGCCCCGTCCACGAGGTTCGGCTGGTCAGAGTTGCTCCTGATCGGAAAGAAGGGAGGTCTGTGGGGAAAACAGACTAGCCAGGATGTCTGTTGTGAGCAGGTGGAGTTGGCCAGGTGACCTTAGTCGACCGATCATCAAGCTTTGACAGCTGCCTCTGTCATAATGCCACCACTTCTCTGGTGCAGCCTGTGACGTTAGGATAACCTTTGCCACCCCTGGGGATAATTAGCTGAAGCCTGATCATTAGACTCATCCACTGATTGTTTAGGTCACGTGTTTCCACAAGCATGAAAAAAAAAACCTTAGCCTTGCTGGATCTGGGTTTGTAAAGTTCAGCCATATCGGACTCAGTGGTTGTATCAGTGCATCATTTTGTTACTGCATTTGGATTTTCCATAATTTCACTGTAGCCTAAAATCTTGACATTGCCTCCTCCATCCACTAACCACCCCAAAGTAATGAAAAAAGGTCAGTGAACTAGGAATCAGAGCTGGGTGTTCAGCCTGTCCTGGGCTTTCTGAGTGGTCTGGGCAGGTCATGTCCCTTCTAGCCTTTCCAGTTGGTCTGTAAGGTCCCCCTTTCCTTCCTGAATGCTAAGAGCCCCTACTCTCGCGGGGCCTGGGGAGAGGTTGACGTCCCCGCTCCCGAGCTCAATCTGTGTGTAGTATGACCTCAGCCTCTGTTTGCTCATCCCCTTTCTTCCAGATCAGGAGCATCTGGATAAAGAGATAGAAAAGCTCCGGAAACAACTTAAAGTGAAGGTCAACCGTCTCTTTGAAGCCCAAGGTATTGGCCTGGGGGAACTGGAAACCAGGAGAGATGAGACCAGTAACATGCACTTTGAGGGCCAGGGGTGGGGAGTCCTTCGGAGGCGGGCAGTGGCCTGGGCAATGCGTGCATGGCACTGGGCACATGGACGGTGGCGGTCTGTAGCTGCTCAGAGACAGAATGGTCAGGGAGGTTCCTCTCACAGCTTCTTTCCAGGCACCAAACTGTCTGCGGTGACCACATGACATGCCAGGTCATGGTGTGGGGGCCAGGGTATCTGACTGAGGGAACTCAGAAGGCTCTGTCAGGTGGTGGAGGTCAGCTGAAATTCTGGGTTATACCCAAGCACATTGATGGGTCGCAGGTCTGGCAAAAATCAGGAGGTATCTGGGCAGCAGAGCCATGACTTAGAGGGTCACTGTGACATTGTGTGTCAGCTGCAGAGCCATGACTTAGAGGGTCACTGTGACACTCAGTGTCAGCCCCGTTCCTGTGCCCGACTCCAGAGCCAGGAGGAGGTTGCACAGCAGAAGGCTCGACGTGCTGATGGATCGTCTTTTCCCCACAGGCAAACCGGAGCTGAAGGGTTTTAACCTGAACCCCCTCAACCAGGATGAGCTTAAAGCTCTCAAGGTCATCTTGAAAGGATGAGACTCGAGAACCACACTGGGGGACCTGTGACCAGCATCTCCCTAGGGTCATAGAGGAACCTCGAGCCAAACTCTGCAAGGACAGGATTCCCTGTAAGGGGACAGGCATCAGGAAGCTGCCCCGACTCCCGTGTGATGCCTGTGTGTGGTGTTCCGCTGCTCTGTGAACGTGCAGCCTGGCCACGTCTGCTGGGCCCGACCACAGATGCACATAAGACCTATTGATGGACCTGGCAGCCACCGTGGGTGTGGGGGCAGTGCCCGTGGGGTGTGGGAATGACTGCAACAGGCACTTCTCCACAATGCTCCGCTGTTCCCAGGGGCCCCGGCAGGGAGGAGGGAGAGTGAAGAGTGGGAGCTTCATTCAGGCATTCCTCCCAGAAAGGGGCAGATGTCTCCAGGCAGCGTGTGTGATAGAATAAAGCAGGGACTCATGGGTGTTTCTGAACGCAGGGCAGCCGTCCGTGGGGTGGACGCACATTTCCCCCGCAGCCTCCACGTTGCCCCTTTCCCTGTGTGCTTCCTGGAGTGGATGCTCTTCAGTCTGGGGACCTCGCAGAGTCCCACACCGGGGACGGTGAGGGGGCCTCTGAACACGCTGCTTGCGTTGAGAACACTCCTCCACCACTCGTCCGCCTCTGATCTGAGGTCCTAGTGTGTGCACCACGAGGGGGCCGAGTGTCTTTCATGTTCATCAAGGGCTCAATAAACGTTAGCAGAATGAATGAGCAGCAGCTTCTGGTCCTTACCTCATTCAGTCCTTTGTTGGGGGCGTGTCCCTCATTTCAGAATGCCACCTGTGAAGGGGAAGTGGTTCTTGCCCTGAAGTGATACCCAGATTAGACAGGCAGGTCACCACAGTGGCAACACAGGACACACCACACTCGCTCTCCTCATTCCACTTGGCTCTGGCTGATAGGCACAAAGACTGGTGTGCCCAGAGCTTAAGCTTTTCGCAGGAGGATTTAGACATTTGAATCTCCTGTCTTTTTAATATAGTTGACTGATTCAGTGCTTAAAAACTTGGGCGTTGATCAAACAGAATACCTAACAAAAGCCAGGTTTCACCCAGACCTACCGTTTTGCACCTTCATGAGTTGTAGGAAGGACCGTTTTCCCCATTCTGGCCCTAAGGGAAAGATGGAAGTAGAAACAAGCACGAGCTGAGGGGTTCCATGGCTCCGGTGGCAGTTACCCAGTAAGGAAGCTCTGAGTACGGATGGTGTGTGAGCTCTGAGATGCAGCACGTGGGAAGAGAGCACGCAGAACGTGTCAAAGCCAGTTTGCATAAGCACTGTGCTTCCCTCGGCAACGGCTGCAGGCTGGGGCACACGGTTGGAAGGAAGGGGACCCCATCCTCTACCCTTCTATAAATACTGAATTTTAAACCACACAATTATTTTGAAATGTAAATGCAGAGAGGTAGGGAGTTGAATCTATTATGATAAATGTTACCTGTACACACAGACTGCCTGGCTCACAAATTCCTCAGAACATTGCTCCAGGGGTGCCAGGCTAAAGAGCCAGATTCTTTCTCCTGGCACTGTGGAGCCTGGAGCCCAGGCCTGGGGCTGCCCAGGTGGCCTCAGTCAGCAGTGGAGGGAAGGCCACACTCAGGAGGCAGAAGGCCCAGGGTAGCCTCTGGCCTTCTCTAGGCCAGCAGATTCACTTCTCGGATTTACCAGTATTTCTCTTCCAAAACCTTCCCTCTGAGCTTTACCGCAGCAGTCGGATTCTGCCCATTGCAGCCAAAAGAACTGCCCTGAGGAGGGAGAGGTAGACAGAGCTGCCAGGCGCCCCCAGGGAGCAGCCCACTAGTCTACTCTTGTAACCCCTCTTAGGAGGCTTAGGAATGCAGAAATTTGAAAAACGCAGAAATTCTTACTTTCCCCAAGCCGTCAGCCCAAGGCCTTCTGCTTTAACTAACTCAGCTCCCAACTTCAAACAAGAAGGCCCAGGGAGGAGTCTAAGACACCCATCTGACTTAGATGAATGCAGTTTTGTAGAGACCATGAAACAGCTCGGCCTTCCCAGTCCTTACCCTGTCAATCAGAACCGGGGATGATCTGGCCCACGGGTTCTCAGGTGGCAGTCAGGGAGCTCTGTGGGTCCCCTACCAGCAAGGTCAGGGTGTTGCAGAGAGGATGTGTTAGGGCCCAGCACTATCCCAGTCTCCTGCAAACAAGGCTTTGTAAGCACTGCTTACAGACAAGCTCCCCAGCCCCTGAACACTTGCTCCGAAGGACCTTTCAGCACCGACCTGAGAGGCACCAGAAGTGCCAAAGCCAGGAGGACCTGGCTCTCCAGCAGCATCCCCGAGCCAGCTTGGTGCCCGGCGACTCTCCAAATAAGGCCTGTGTTTTTTTATTAGGTGTGATCTCTCTAGGATAACAGAGCTTGCTGCATTTGTCCTCTTCGGGTCCAGTTGCCAAGCCAAGCCAGTCTGTCAAGGTTAAAACTGGGGATTGGCTGTCTCCTGGTGCAAAGATGCCTAGGGATGGGGTGGGGGGATCCCCAGGGCCCAGTACAAGCAGCAGCTGCTGAGCCAGCAGGGCTGCTGCCAGGCAGGGGGTGGGGGTGGGGGGTGCAAAGGCTGTGAGGTGCTGCTGAGCTGGAATCTGGGAGTGGGACGGGGCCTGGCGGGCACCTCCCAGGACGCTGTCCTCTCCGCTGCAGCTCAGCTGGCGGCTTTCTTCTGGACTTGAAGGGAGCGGAACAGCTGCCTCAGCTGTTTTTTCCGATCGTTGACGCAGCCTGGAAGGGAAGGGGGTGTTGACTGGGCTGGCCTGTGCCCCTCTACCTGCAGGGAAGAGGGGACAGCAGAAATAGTACAACCCGTGTGACCTCTCGTTCGCATGCTGGCTTCATTCCTGAACTACCGTGGGCTCGAGCAAGTCATTTACAATCTCTGAGCATCAGTTTTCTCATCTGTAAACCTGGATCGCACTCCCTGCCTTCTGGTGTGAACATAAGGATTTAGCAACAAAAGCCAACACTGGCTGGGGGCTTTGCTTCTGCTGATGAATATGGATGAACTTGAACTCTCACAGAAATGTGGGATGAGAAAAACTGAGGCTCAGCAAGGTTCAGTCATTTGCTCCGAATCACACAATAAGCAGAACTGGGATTTGAACCCGGGCTCCCTGATGCCAGAGCCATGCTCTTACCCACTACCCCATAATGCCTTTCCCCCTGGTTTTTGCTCAGTGAAATTCATTAATGCTGGCACAGTGCCTGGTACCTAGTGGGTGCCCCTAAATGAGCTCTCTTCCCCCATCCAACCCATGTGCCAGGCATAATCAGCCAAGAGGTGAGCTTTCCACACAAGTGGCCTCTGGCATCACGTGTATGTCCCAGGCAGTCCGTGCCAAAACAGTGCCATGAGCTGCCGAGAGGCCCCCTCTCCCAGCATATTCATGGTGTTCCCTGTACCCTGTGTGCCCTCAGAGCTGATCTTGAGACAACTCCAGGGTCACTTCATCTTGTGCCAGGCACACGGGTGGCACTCACAAATGTTGCTCGAATAACCAGATCTCCATGGCCATGAGTACCGACCTGGTGGGATCTGCCATCTTTCTCAGCACCCAAAGCCCGTCCCTGCCTCTTAGGCACTCACGGCCATCGAGGCCTCACTGAGCAGAGAGCCCACTCCGTGCATCCACAGGGTTTCCCGAGTGAGTTCCATGGAAGCCTCGCTTTAACTGTATTTGGCTCATTCGTAACCCCCAAATCTTCATGTCCAGGCAAATCCCTTCTTGGAATCCCAATGCTCATCACTGCTACCCGCTGATTGCACCTGGATGTCCCGGTGTATGCTGGTGCCTATAGTCCTCAATTCACCAGTGCCCTCCCTGTCTTCAACCAGCTCTGCCTGTGTTCACCACCATTTACCAAACACTCGACTGGAAACGGGCATGGTTCTAGAGACTTCTAGAGACTTCTAGAGGCTGCATATCAGAATCACCTGGGCACTTCTAAAAATACTGATGCCCAGGCCAGCCATACCTCTATCTCTGGCAGATATCAGTATATATATATATATATTTTTTTTTTTTTGAGAGGTTTTTGCTATAGGGCGCGTGCGCTTCCCCT